GTCATCATCACNCATCTTTTTCATCATTATCATCATTTCCTTCTTCATCATTATCATCATCATCATCATCATCTTTTTTGTGTAGACGACAATTATTATTTTTAAGACTAAGATTATGCACTGTTTCGCAAATATCTTCAACGTCATCATCGTCATTACCATGGCCATCACCATCATCATCATCATCATCATCATCACTGACAACATCATCATCGTCGTCATCGTCATCACCATGGCCACCATCATCATCATCATCACTGACATCATCACCATCATCATCGTCGTCATCATCATCATCATCACTGACATCATCACCATCATCATCGTCATCACCATGGCCACCATCATCATCATCATCATCATTACTGACATCATCGTCGTCTTCATCATTTTCATTATTAATAGGTAATCTGTCATTCTTAGATGTCCGTTTGATATTATTATTATTATTATTATTAGTAGTAGTAGTAGTAGTAGTAGTAGTAGTAGTGGCAGCTGCAGTAATAGTAGTAGTAGCAATAGTTGCGGTATTAGTAATAATAGTATATATCTCACGAAAATTATTTTTACTTCTAATAAAAGTATTATTATTAGCAGAAGTAGTAGCAGTAGCAGCACTAGCTGCAATAGTGGCAGTAGTAGTAGTAGTAGTAGTAGTAGTAGTAGTAGTAATAGTAGTAGTAGTAGTAGTAGTAGTAGTAGTAATAGTAGTAGCAGTAGTAGTAGCAGCAGGGTTAGGGTTGGAGTTAAAGGGAATAATATCACAGAGGCACTGATGATGATGTTGCAGCTGACATTGTTGAAACTCATCATCATTATCAGGACAGAAATATCGAGGTGACGATGTTGATGATGATAATGATGTTGTTGTTGTTCCTTCATTTTGAAATTCTTCCGACAATAAAGCCATCATATTTCTCTTGAGATGTGACATCGATGACGACCGTGATGATGATGATGATGACGTTTCTTCGGGATCATCACCATCATCACCTTTATCATTGGAAGTAGCAGTAGTAGAAGTAGCAGTAGTAGAAGTAGCAGTAGTAGATGCAGCAGCAGCAGAAGTAGTATCCAAAAGATTCTCACAACAATTTTCTAGTTCCTTAATTTCGTAACTCAACATCAACACCTCTTCTCTATGTTTCAACTGTAGAATTTTTAGCTCCAATCTATGCTTTCTAAGCATTATCTCAAATTTTTCATTTAAAAAGTTTAACTTTGTCGCTATGAATGCTGATGATGATGATGGTGGTGGTGGTGGAAGTAGTGGTGGCGGTAGTAGTAATGATGTTGCTGTCAGTGGTGGTGATAGTAATGGTGTCGTTGTCGTCGGTGCTGCTGCTGATGATAGTAAGGATGATTGCAGTTTATGCTGTTGTTGGTGAAGTGTTTGTAATTTTTCATTTAAGGAGTTTAACTTAGCTATTATACTGGACGATGCTGATGATGATTGCGTTGTTTTTGTTGTTGCTGATAATGATGTTGTCGTTGTTGTTTTTGCTGATAATGATGGTGATTGTAATGATGATAATGATACTGGCTGTAATGATGATGATGATGACGGTAAAGACGTCAATGGAGATGGTGTTAATGTTTTTAGAAAATTTTTTTGCTTTAAAAAGTCTATATTTGTTGTCGCTGCTGCTGTTGCTGTTGTTGTTGTTGATGACAATGATGTAACCAGTGTATTATTATTATTATTATTATCATTATAATTATTATTGTTATATTTATTATTATTATTATTATGAACATTATTAATGTAATCTTTAGGCGGTTTATATGCCTGCTTAAACATGTCACCCACAACTCCTTCAGCAAATAAAACCTTTATGGCATCATCATCATCATCACAGTCATCATTATCATTAGTTGTAGTAATAGTAATAGCAGTAGTAGTAGCAGCAGTAGTAGCAGCAGTAGTAGTAGTAGTAGTAGTAGTAGGATTATTGTTGTCATCATCATCAGTAACATTGTTACTAGGATCAGTAACATTATTATCATAATTACCAATAATATTACTATTATTATTATTACCATCATCATCATCACCATTCTTAAAACCTTGACAATCATCATCACCATCGTTTCCATCATTATTATCTCTATAATTCTTATCATCCTTAGAAACATTAACAATATCCATTGGATTTAGTGTAGATGATGGTGATGATACAGAAGTTGATGGCGGTAGTGCTGATGACGATAAAGTGTGGCCATTAGTGAAACCACTGTCTTCAAAACTATTACTAATATTATTATTTGTGTTAGTATTAGTTAATAAATTAGTGATGATGGTGGTAGTAGTAGTATTGTTGTTATTCACATTCATATTAACATTCATAATATTGGTATTATTATTATTATTATCACTATTATTATTGTTGTTGCTACAGTCATTTAGTACAATTGAAGAAGATGGCTAGGGATGAAATTTTTATAGAAAATAAAATATAATAAAACTCAATAACTTAAATTTAAATGTTAGTTTTTTATTTTTACTAAAAAAAGCAAATTTACAAAATTATATTATAACAAAATATAAAATTAAACTAAAATCTAGATTGAGTGAATGAGTGATTGAGTGAATAAGTGAGTGAATGAAAAAATAAATAAACAAGTTTTCTCTTTTTTTTCACTTGGTTTTTTGCATAAGCTTCTATCTGGGTGGAAATTTTTGGCTTCATGGTTCTTCTTTTACCAGTCTTCATTAATGAATATATGAAAAAATAAATTACTAAGTGTATTAAAATCTAATTTTGTTCTAAATTGCATTTGATTTATTTATTTATATTTTTATTATAATTTTTTATTTTATTATTTAAAATTTAGTAATTTTATTTGAAAATTAAATTTCTATCGTTTTAGTTTAGTAGCTCACTATCTTTTATTTGAACAAAATTTTCACAAAAATTCATCAAATTCCTATTTTTATATTTCCCTAAATTTAAGAAACAAGAGTGGCAAGAAAGTACGACGAATGTTTTTTCAACTTAAGTTTACTTTTTGTTATAATTTACTTTTAAACAGTTTTCTAAAAGTAATAGAGCGCCGCTTTTTCTTATCACCGTCGGTTGCAACTGTAATTGTATTTGTTATAAAATTTAAGTTAGCGAGCTAAATTTTATTTCAAAACAAATTTTTATTAAAATTTCATCAAAATTTCTTTTTAGATTTTCCTAAATTTAGGAAACAAAGGCGGCAAGCATGTCTTAAAATTAAATAAGTCTCTTTGCACAGTAAGAAAGGCCGATAAGAAACTCTTTAAAACTTAAAAATTAACTCATCAAAAGCAGTAAGAAGGACAAAGTCTAATTTTTTTCGCAAGAGTTCAGGAATTAAAATTTTAAAATAGTTTCATTATTTTCATATAAAATAATTTCCAATAAAATGGGTAAAAAAGCGAAAAATTCGAGATCAAACCACGCCTCAGTGGATTCAGGGATGCCTAGGCACTTTCGTAGGGAAGTTTTAGAAATGTGCAATCAACTGCTAGAAAGTAAGACGTCTATATGTTTCAATATAATTTCTCAAAATTTATATAAACATGATCAAAAGTTAGCTAGACAAATAAGGTGTTACTATTGTTTCTACCCATTCCTAGTCTCTATTCTAATTCTAATCTAATATGCTGTTTTTCCTCATCACAAAATCTAAATTAGTGACACTAATTAGTTGACTTATCTGACCAATCATCACTTGCCTTTATGCTGTTTAATATGTTAAATCATTTAACTTAAATGTTTATTAATATGTTAAATAATGTAACAAGGTATGCATATTAATTTAATTTTAATATTTATTATTTTAATTCAACTGAAAGATATCTATTTCTATTTATCAGTTATGATTATTGTTAATGATTTTAAAATTTGTTAAAAATAAAAAAATCTTTCAGGATGTAGCATTCTGCCCCAGACCCAACAACAGCAAAATGAGTGGGAGAATTTTGTTGAAATATTCAACATCGTCGAAAAGCTAAGGAAGAAGCAACAACGTTCGTTAGATCTTTGTATCATTATTTTCATTTATTATAGTTAATATTTTCATAACTTTATTTTGTTTTATGTATTTTTCAAAAATAACGAGTCTAAAATCTAGTTGGCTTTCATAAATTTTTGTTTAATATTTTTCAAAATTTTATTTTTCAGCTTATGTTATGAAACATCGACAGAATAGATCTGAATATGTAACACAGTTCTTCGAATGGCTGAATAAAAATAAAGTCGATACTTCTAAAGTGACTGTTGATCAGTTTGGTTCTCAAGGTTTTGGCTTGAAGGCTGTACAAGATATAAAAGTCAATTTTGTTGTCTTTTATGCTATTATGATTTTTTTTAATTATATTATTTTACGTATATATCTATTTTAAAGCACATCACTGATTTTACCATTCAGTTAGTACATCCCTATTAAAACTAATCGGCAAATATTTTAACAAACAAATTAGCACATTAATGTCATAAATATTATAGCCCTCATTGTCATCACACCTGATCATTGTTATCATAACCACCACCATCATCATCACCATCATCTTCTTCATCACCATCGTAATAATAATATTAATTGCCATTAGAAGAACATCACAACCGTCATCATCCTTACAACCATCATCATCATCATTCTTACAACCATTATCATCACCATTATCACCATCATCTTCATCATCATCATATCAGGAGGGTGATCTTATTTTGGCAGTGGCAAGAGATGTGATGATGAAGACGTCAGATGCTATGCTCTCTCCTATCGGTCTCACCAACAGCCATCATCGTCATTACTATCCATTATAACATTTCTAATCATTCGCCATCATCATCGTCGTTGTTACCATTATAATTATCATTATCATTAACTTCATTATCATCTCTAAACGTTATCAACACATTCATCGTTATCAGTATCGTCGTCGTCATCACCTGACCACTGTCCTAATCATTAGGGCGGCGTGATGGTCTAATGGTTAAGGTCGCCTGGTTCTATTTCGCAGTAACCGGGTTCGAATATGGCAAAAAGATCCCCGCCTATCACATGCTCCGTGTGTGACGCGTCGTTCAGCACGTATTGTGCGCTTTATTGAATCCTCTGACCTTTGGAAGAGTGTAATTGACCTTTAACCTTTTTAACCGTTATCACCCAGGAAAGATAGCGAAATCAGATAAAATTCTGCAGTCTATGCCTAATATTCTCATGTCTTTGTTTCTCCTATGTGAGTGCGCTAATCTTGAAAAGTCGCACTGGGGTCCATATTTAAGTTAGGGAAGTTATTATTATTGCTGTTATTAGTAACTGTAGTAGTGTAGTAATAGTAGTAGTATTACTAGCAGCAGTCGTAGCAGCATTAACTGCAGTGGTAGCAGTGGTAGTAAGTGTATTTTGATGGCTGGTGTGACTGACTTCTGGAATGATAATGACACTGCAGAGATTTTGCCCGATTCGTACACTACTCCATTGTATTTCTCCATCAGTGAGATGGCGTTGATTAAGAATCTTCCGATTTTTAGTTAGTAAGTTAGTTAATCACGTGATGATGGGGGTGGTGATTGTGGTGATGATGAAGATGACGATTGTGATGATGGTAATGAAAGTTGTGATGATGATGTTGGCGTTAATGATGATGATGAAAAAAATTAATTTTTTTTAAAGCCGATGTCATGAACCAGTATAAAAGCATTGCTAGGCAGTATGCCTATTTCTTTAAACTGTTTCAAGTTTGTTGATTCATTCATTCATTCATTCGTTTGTTTGTTCGCTTATTTGTTCATTCAATCATTAATTCATACACACATTTGTACATTTTTTCATTCATTTCTTGTGTACATTTATCCAGTCAGATTCATTCATTCCTTCATTCATTTATTCAGGGTTTGACGGATGCATCAAACCTGCCCATTAAAACGTTCTGCTATGATGATTATAGGTCAATTTTTATTATTTTCGTATTAATAATACTTACAATAATTATTATTACTGTTGTTCTAGTTGTGAATATTATTGTTATCATAATTTGTCGTTATTGTAATTTCTATCAAATTTATGTTAATTTATTCAAATTTATGTTAATTTATTCAAATTTATGTTAATTTATTCAAATTTTTTTGTCAAGGTGGGCTGTCTCAACGATTATGACGAGGCAGAATAAAATACCTTCAATTAATAATAAAAGCAATAATAATAATAATTTGGTTGGTGATGGTGATGATCCTGAAACTGTGCTTATCCCACTGTGGGATTTTTCCAATCATGCTGATGGACATGTCAGTGGAGTGAAGGAAGGAGGGAATGAATTGAATAAATGAATGAACGATTGAATGAATGAATGAACGATTGAATGAATGAATAAATGATCGAACGATTGAATGGATGAATGAATGATTTGTTAAATAGGTGTGTGTCTGTAAAAGATATGAATATTTGTATGAAAAAACTGAGTGATTGACTGAGCAGTTATGAAATGAATGAATAAATAATCGTTTGATTGATCGATCGATTGATTGATTGACTGGAAGATATTTAAAAATAATGAATATTAATTAGCCCGCCACCTCAACCAACCAATCAAATTCCAGATTTCAACAGGGTATAACGAAGTAACCAGCCAATCAGATTGTTTTGCTATGAAAGAATTTAAAACTGGTGATCAGGTATGATAATAAACGAATGAATGAATGATTGAATGAATGAATGGTTAGTTAAATGGACGAATGAATAGAATATGGTAATGGTGATGATAGTTAATAATAATTATAATAATTGATGTTTTTTTTCCCAGATCTTAATCTATTATGGCGCCCGAAGCAATTCTGAATTTCTTCTTCACAATGGTTTCGTCTATGCAGATAATAGTAACGATGCTGTTGCTATAAGACTTGGTCCTTCATTCATTTATTTATTCATCCATCCATTCATCCATCTATCTATCTATTCCTTTATTCATTCCCTTATTCGTTCATCTATCTATCATTAATTTTCATTGTTGTCGTTATTATTATTTTTATTAATTAGTTGTAGTTGTGGCCGTCGTAGTAGTAGTAGTTTTTGTTGTAGCAATAGTAGTTGTGCTTTTACTATATTTCGTATTTTAATAATGATTATTATTATTATAACTATAATAATAATAATTATTATTATTATTATTAAGGGGTAAGCAAGAATGACTCACTGTTTAGTTTAAAAGCTGAAGTCCTGGCTAGAGTTAATTTAAATGCGTTGGTATTATTATTACTAATACTGCTACCACTAGCAGTACTGCTAATACTACTATTACTGCTGCTGCTGCTACTACTACTACTACTGCTGCTACTACTACTATTACTAATACTACTACTGCTATTACTCTTAATTTTTTTTCTAATTTTGTTTGGCTCATATTCACATTCGTCGTTTCCAGAAAAGCTTTTTATACTTTTAAAAATTTCGTGTTTCACTCTATGAATGAATGAATGAAGAAAATCGTGATCATAAATATTTTTTAATTATGGTTATAATAATCGTACTACTAATTATAATAATAATTACAATAATAATTATGGTGATACTAATTATAGCGACAGTAATAATTGTAGTTGTAGTTGTAGTAGTAGTAGTAGTAGTATGATGGTCTTCGCCTTAGCAATCAAACTTTTTACGTGAACTTTGACCTTCACCTTAGCAATCAGACTTTTTACGTGAACTCTGACCCTGAATGCCCACTTGAACCTTCTCTGATTGCCTTTCTCAGGATTTTCTCAATGGACATCGGTAATAACGTTAATAATAATTATTATTTTTATAATTATATCATTATAACAATTTTATTTCATAATTTCAATTTTTGTTATCATTTTTCATAATTTGCTTAATTAAAGAAAAAAAACTTCCTCTAATTCTTCCAACTCCAAAACTTTCTGCAACTCCAGAGACCCTGATGCATTACCTAAGAGGTGATGGCCTGGATGAGAGGCGGACGAAACTCAGGGATGTGACAGAATGGGTGGACCCCTCTAATGAATATAAATCTTGGGATTTTCTAGAAAATAGATGCTTGCTGTTGATTAGGAGCTGCTACGCTGATTTGGTTGGTTGGTTTTTGTTAGATAGATAGATAGATAGATAGATAGATAGATAGATAGATAGATAGATAGATAGATAGATAGATAGATAGATAGATAGATAGATGCATTTACAAACGAATTGATTGCGTAATTAGTAGGTGAATAAGCAAACTGATAAAGTAAAGAATCGTCGGAATAAATGAAGGAATGAGTAAAAGAGCAAGTGAATGAATAAATTATTAATTGTTATTTACTGTTTGTATTGTTTCTTCTAACCAGCCTGAAGCTACAAGCAGTAAGGAGTGTGAAGTGACAACCAAAATCGCAACGACGACTTCAGCAAACGTTGAAAATATATTACTGTTGAAAAAATGCGAGAGGCGAATCCTCCAGTACGTCGCTGAATTTTCTCATAGGCAAAAAATGGCAGTCGTCGAGTTTGTTGAAAAGTACAAAATTTCAACTAGTGAAACCTCTCCTCAGCAGCAGCAAACGCAGCTGCAGCAACCACAGCAGCTGCAAATTTACGATGCGGTTGTTTGTGGTTTAGGTAATAATGACGATGATGATGTCGAACAACAATTACTACATGGTAACGGTGGCGATGATGTTAGCGATGAAAGTAAATTTCGCGATGCTGTCGATGGCTTAAAAATTATCGATCAGGTTGCCGAGTCAAATTGAATGATTGAATAATTTATTAGTTCTTTCACTCGTTTATTTATTTATTTGTTTATTCATTCATTTACTCGTTCGTTCATTCGTTCGTCAAATTATTTCATTCATTTTTTTTAAGACTTTGTTAATGTGGTTTGAAAAGACAATGCTATTGTTGTTGCTACCGATGTTTTTACCAAGATTTCTCAATAATTTTTGTCTTTTTTACAAATATTTATTGTTTGTTTGAGAGAGTATGTGTGTTTGAGTGTGTGTCTGTGTGTGGTGTGTGTGTGTGTGAAGTCTTTCACATTTATCATTTGTGTGTGAAACGTTTTTAAAGATTCTTTGCCTATTTTGTTCAAGAATTTATGATATTATTGATGTACACAGACATACGTATGTGCGTACGTACATGCACACACTCACATACATACAAGCATTCATACATACATGACATGGTTTTGATACATTTTTGCCGCAATAAATATTACACTGGTTTCAGAACCAGGTGGGACTTTAAGTAAATGGATGAATGTGTTTTTGATATATCCGTGGTTTATGTTATAAAAAATTGTGTATAGGTGTATTAGAGTATGAATGTAGCACACGCACTTGTGTACGGCCAGGTTTTATACAATGTCTGATAGTTGAAAAGTTGTACGCTATACAATAAATCTAAAGCGCAGTATAATACCACAAAGACTGAACTACACTACAAGGTGCTATTGTCAAAAAACGTAAAATTTACGATTTTTTTGTTAAATAAATTATTTACTATACTAAAAATAATTTTATTATTGAGTATTTGTGCTGAAAATTGTTTAAATTAGTGAAAAATAGGTTAAAATGTAAGGTTTGGCTATTTTTCTGTCCAACTTGTAAATTACGTGCTATTGTTATTATTATACTGTGGATGTGTGTTTAATATAAAATGGCCGGATCTACATTATATACGCAGACGGTGGTGTTGTCGTTAAATTGAGCTTAATTTGATAATAATAAACAGTTTAATCTATCTTATTTCGCGGCATAAATGTCTACAAGTTTTTCTTTTTGAATGTTTTCTACGATTTTTGTGTGCTTTATATGAAAATTTGTAGTTACAAAGAAAAACTTGCCTCTTCTATTTAGTTCTCAGTGTTACAACCTACCTACAACAACAACGGACGTTTATTTTCATTTTATTGTGCTTTAATGGTTATCACCATCATTTTTTCATTTCAAATTTATTCGTAATATTGTTCTGTTGGTCTTTTTGGATTGGGGAGGTAGAAACTTTAGAGGTTAGTTGCCGTTTTTACTTCTTAAGAATCTAAAAAAAAAGTTTTGTTACTTTTTCTTAATTTAATTAATTTCAATAAAAATAATTCAATTCATTAAAATGGCCATTGACTTGTTTTGCAAATTCTTATTTTAATTCATGACTGACTAACAATAGAAAAGTCCCTATCAGGATCATGAAAGATGAGTTTTGAGGCAAAACAAAAATATTGTTTCTGCTTTGTTTACCTATTACTGAAATTATTATAATAATTTTTATTCTGACAGAGTTTCACTGCATCACATCCATATTACTAACTGTTGCCTAAAAATTCTTGAAAAATGTCAAACAAAATTGACATAAACACGGCTGGGGTCGATGATTTTCAAACTCTCCCTGGCGTGGGGAAAGTTAAAGCTGAGGCCATCATAAAAGCAAGAAAAGTGAATTTAGATTATGGAGATTTTTTTTTCAATTTTTTTCTACATTTGTAGAAAATTTCTTCAAAATCTTTGTTATATTATTTATATATCATCAAACTGAAAGTGACACATGTCAAATTAACTAAACAGAAATTGGGTCGATTCAGGACACTGACTGACCTGTCACAGATATCTAAATTGGGTCAGGTCATTGTTGACAAATATAAAACTTCATTGGTTTGTACAACACCCCAAAATCAAAACCACAGAAACAACAAATCAGCAACAATGATAACTCCTGTTGCTTCTAGGTTCATTGAGAAAAATTTTTTCAATTTCTATAAATTAACTTTTTTTGCTAAATGGTAAGAATTGAATGAGTTAATTTAAATTATCTAGATCCCTTAGAAGTTCAAAGGTTCTCAAAGTACCAATGAAGCGTAAGCAGCCACCAGCAGAAGAGTCCTCGACAAAGAAACAACCACGCAACCAATCACAATCATCAGATCTAAATATTCCAGCCAGTTGCAGCGCATCAGGTGATTGCAGCAGCCAATCAAAATTCACCGCAAGAGTATGTGGGTATCGTCGATCTGTACGAAGGGCTACCATTAGTTCATGCTCTCAGCTTAAAACTGACCAATCAGATGCTGTAAATAACAATAATAATAACCACAACAGCAGCAACAACAATAATAATAATAATAACAAAGGTGTTAATTCAAACTCAAAGACACCTAATGATATAAAAATTGACTTGTCGACAATTTTCGTAACTGCTACTGGGGAGGAGAATGATAATAGCAGTGGAAGAAAAAGAGTTACAAGGCAGTCAACATTAGCAGCTGCTGCAGCTGTTTCATCTGCCGGTGTAGCCACATCATCTGCCCCTGTAGCCACGTCATCATTGACGTTGTCGTCGTCATCATCAGCATTTGTAAACTGTGCTGGCAGATCACTGAGGCAAGTTGTCTCGTCAACATCTCCATCTGCCGTCAGAATAAATACCAACAGCAAGAGTAGAAACAATAGCATTAACATAAATAATGTGGACACTTCTGATAGGCAGAGAGGGGAGGAACTAAATGAGCCAAGCTCTTCCAATCAGGTGCTTGTTGATGAGGAGGATAATGATGATGAGGATGAAGATAGAAATGGCGATGATGATGATGATGGTGAGAACGATGATGATGAGAACATGGCAGACGATGATGATGATGATAATAATGATCGTCATCAGCAAGATTCAAGGGTTGGTAGTTTGAAATCAAGACTGCCTGTATCAATGGAGGTGATTGAGAAACACTGGGTAAGTTAGTTTGTTGATTGATTGATTGATTGATTGATTGGTTGGTTGATTGGTTGGTTGATTGGCTGGTTGATTGGTTGGTTGGTTGATTGATTATTTATTTATTTAATCAATCAAAACAAACCCCATCCAATCCTACTTACAAGCAGAAATTGCAGAAGCTTGAAAACAGCAGCCTCTTACATAGCAACAACAAGAACAACAACAACACATCATCATCTTCATCTTCTTCATCAGCAACGTCATCGTCGTCGTCATCGCCGCTCTGGTTGAATGTAGGTCAAGAGGGTAATCAGGTCAATAATAATAGTAATAATAATAATGATGATGGTAATGGTGAAGAGATTTCTGGAGATGGCACAGTGTTAATGTTAGTTGAACTGCTGTCACTTTTGTCGTTTGGCTGATGTAATGATTGTTGTTGATGATGTTGTTGATGTCATCATTGTTGTTGATGATGATGTTGATGATGATGTTGATGATGCTATTATTGTTGTTGATGATGTTGGTGGGTGATGCTATTATTGTCGATGATGATGATGTTGTCTATGATGATGTTGTTGCTGTCTTATTGATCTTGCAAAATATTGACACGAAAGATTATCTAATTTATCATTCGGCCATCATCTAATAATACTTTTTCCATTCAACATTCCACTTGGGAACAGCAACAACAATAACCCCAAAAACTCGACTACGACGTTAACATCAAATACACTGACCATGTCCAGTGATTTCCAGGCGAATAACAACAACAACAACAATAATGGTAACAACAATTCATCATCGATGATGTCATCCCTGATGAAGAAGTCAAGAATTCCTTCTAAAAATAATCCACAGCCTGAATTACATGGATGGCTTGAAACTTTTCAGGTTGGTTGGTAGGTCGGTTGGTCGATTAGTTGATTGAATGATTGAATTAATCAGTCAATCAATGATTGACTGGTTGGATGACTGGCTGACCTAATGATTGATTGTAATTAGTGGGTTGGTTGATTGAATGGGTGTTTTGTTGATTGATTGATATGATAATTAGGCGTTATTTATTAATAATTATAATCAAAAATAATAATAATTTTAGTCTTGGGGACATGCGGAAAGGTTACTGGCTCTTGATGAACTTACAAATCTCTGTGATCATACACAGGTCCGTTGTTATTGTTATTATTATTGCTGTTGTTAGAATTTAATATCATCGTCATTTTTATTGTTTTATTATTTTTGTAATTATTGTTATTATTATTGTTCAGGTTCGGCATCTGATGCAAGTTATCGAGCCACAATTCCAGAGGGATTTCATATCATTATTGCCGAAAGAGGTACGTTGCCACCACCATTATTTCAACTATTCTTCTTGTTGATTGTATCACCTTTTAACGTTAACAATGGTTTTGGTGCTTATGTTGTTGTTGTTGTTAGACATCACTTGTCTGTAGACCAGCCTTTATTATATCAACTTATTTTTGTGAAGCCAGAAATCACCTAACTAACCTTAACCCTAACCATACATAAAATCAATTAACCAATCCAAGCCTAAAACTAACCGACCAATCACAATCTCCTAATCAGCTGGCCCTCTACGTCCTATCATTCCTCGAGCCTCGTGATCTCGTAAGAGCGGCCCAAACGTGTTCATACTGGCACACCCTAGCTGAAGATAACCTATTGTGGCGAGAAAAATGCCAAGAAGAAGGGGTCACAGAGTCTCTGGTCTACCAGGGGGCCCACAGGAAGAGGGGGGTTCAGAATCAGGGATGTGCGGCTTCCGGTACTTCAACGAAGACAGGATCGTATTGGAAGTCGTTGTACCTGAGGCAAAAACAAGTGGAAAATAATTGGAAGTACGCTGTTAGGTTGCCTAAGGTCTGTTTTTGTGTTCATGTGTATATATGTCTGTATTATTATTATTATTAGTGGTAGTAGTAGCAGTGGCTAGAAGTAGTAGTTGCAAGGAGTGGTTGCAGTTGAAGTAGTTGTAGCATTAATTCACAGAAGTGTTTTGTTTAATATGCAAGTATACAATTTCTTGAAAATTAATTATGCTTTATTTATTCATTCATTCATTCATTCACTATCTATCTATCTATCTATCTATCTCTCTATCTATCTATCTATCTATCTATCTATAAATCTCTATCTATTTATATCTATCTATCTATCTATCTATCTATCTATCTATCTATCTCTCAGGCGCGGCTTATCATAATTTGTCATAATAACATTATAATTGATCCGTGATAATATTATAATTATTTGAAGGTCTTAAAAGGTCATGATGATCACGTGATAACCTGTTTAGAATTTTCAGGCAACAAAATAGTCAGTGGCTCGGATGATAATACGCTAAAAGTCTGGTCTGCCGTTACTGGGAGGGTATATGTTTTTTTCAAATTTCCGTTCATATTTATTTAATTATTTATTTATTCGTTTATTTATTATATATATATATATATATAAATTTTTATATATATATATATCAATTATTCATCTTAATTACTTATTTATTCGTTTATTTATTATATTTATTTTTATATAACTTAATTATTTGTCTTAATTATTATTTATTAATCATGAAAATATATATATATATATATATATATATATAGAGAGAGAGAGAGAGAGAGAGATTTATACGTATTTATGTACAAACATACATACATACATACACACATCCAATTCAATTCAAATAAACTTTTATTCAGTAAAGTATTTTATACATACATTATACATTCCGTACATTCTCACCCTACCTACATATGTATACATATATAACAAGCAAATATACACATTTACATACGTACGCACATACAAACATACATACCATACTACACACATACATAACACACGTATGCATGCATTAAGCCATTGATATCTATGCACAATCCTAGTGCCTAAGAACCCTAACTGGCCACACGGGTGGCGTCTGGTCAAGTCAGATGAATGGAAACCTGATAATTAGTGGATCGACTGATCGTACGCTAAAAGTATGGAACGCCGAAACCGGCCAGTGCAAGCATACCTTATTTGGGCATACTAGTACTGTGAGGTGCATGCATCTACATAACAAGAGGTCGGTGTTGCTCTTTGATGTGTGTGTGTGTGTGTGTGCGTGCAAGCAAGTCTGTGTGGCCAGTAGCTACAACATTAAAATGAAGTCATGATGATCAGTGGCAACAACAAACCATCCCATGCAGAGTTGTGAGCGGCAGTCGAGACGCGACGCTGCGCGTCTGGGATATTGAGACAGGCGAGTGTCTGAGAATCCTCATCGGACACGTCGCCGCCGTGCGCTGCGTTCAGTTCGACGGACGCCGAATCGTTAGCGGTGGCTACGACTACATGGTCAAAATCTGGGACCCCGACTCAGACATGTGTCTCCAGACACTGGCTGGACATAATAATAGGGTCTACTCTTTGCAGGTTTGTTATACAAACATACATACATACACACGTACAAACATACATACTCACATTCGTACACTTGTATGCGTACCAACAGTTTGATGGCACGCATATTGTTAGTGGATCTCTTGATACCTCCATCAGAGTTTGGAATGTAGATACTGGAGTATGCGTGCACACCTTGGTTGGGCACCAGTCACTCACTAGTGGAATGGAACTTAAGGATAATATTCTGGTTAGTGGATAGGTGGATGGATTAAGGATGAATGAACGAATTGATGGATGAATTGATTGAATGAATGATTATTGAATGAATGAAAGAATGGCTATCAAATAGTGCTGAACTAAAAAATATTGTTCTGGTCAGTTTGTGAATTAGTTGATAGACGGATGAATGAATGGGTGAATGATTGAATGAGATAATTGAATGAATAATTGAATGAATTATCGCTAGATGAATGAATAAATAAATGAATGAAATTTGAAACATAACCTACAAACTTTTTTGAAACAATTTTTTTCTTATGAATGAATGATTGGCTATTAATTACTAATCAGTCGTAAGTAACCAAGATATAATGCTCTGTCTTGTTAGTAAACTGGTGGATAGATGAATTTATGATTTGAAAATGGATGAGTGGAGGAATGATTGATTGATCGATTGATTGATTGGTTGATCGATAGGTTGATTGATTGGCTGATTGATTGATCGACAAAACACTACCCAGGTAAGCGGAAACGCAGATAGCACTGTGAAAGTTTGGAACATTTCAACTGGACAATGTCTGCAGACACTGCAAGGTAGTAAGTTAATAATAATTAGTTTTGTGAATAAAATAAAATAAATTATTATTATTATCGTCATTCATTATCGCTTGTTAAGTAATAAATTCAACATTATTTTCATCAATCAATCAACTAATCAATTAATCAATCAACTAATCTATCAATCAATCAACTAATCAATCAATCAACTAATCAATCAATCACTCAACTAACGGTTCGATCAATCGTTCCAGGTCCCAACAAACACATGAGTGCAGTAACCTGCCTGCAGTTCAATGGAAAATTAATAATCACCAGCTCGGACGATGGCACAGTAAAACTCTGGGACCTAAAAACCGGGGAACATCTTAGAAATTTAGTGTCTTTGGATAGCGGCGGAAGCGGCGGAGTCGTCTGGCGAATCAGGTGCAACAACACGAAACTCGTCTGCGCGGTCGGAAGTCGGAACGGTACCGAAGACACTAAATTGCTTGTCATCGATTTTGACGTTTTGGACGATAGCAGCGTAAGTAATGGTAGCAATTGTACTAATAATGGTCTGATCAACAGCAACGGCTGCATCAGTTATGGTGACAATAATAATAATAATAACGTTGGTAGTAGTGGTAACTTGGGAGGAGCAGCGCAGGTTGTTAACGGTAATAATAATAACAATAATAATAATAATAATGGTGGTGGTAGCGGGAATGGCGTCAATCTTTGAAACTATGGCAGTGATATGCTGCTAATGACGTTTCAGTGATTGATTGATTGGTTGGTTGGTTGGTTGATTTAGTGGGTTCATAGATTTGCGAGGTAAATGGATTAGTAGGTTGATTGATTGACTGATTGATTGATTGACTGATTGATTGATTAGTCGTGTTTTATTTCTAGCAAACTTGATTAATTGAGATATTAACAATTGTATGAGTAACTAAAATGTCGATCGATCGATTCATTGATTAATAGAGTAAATTAATGATTGACTGATTGATTGAATGAATGATCGAAAAGTCAGCTGATTGAATCAAAACAGACATACTACGTACATGCTTTGAACATTTTTATGCTAGTGAAATAAATATTAGTGAAATTGTACACAAATTTTAAAAAACTTTCTTCGTTCGAGGCATTATATATATATATATATAAATAAATATATATATCTAATTATTAATTATATATTATTAATATTATATTATAGTCCATTAATATTATTACGTACTTGCATTTTTTGGTATTTTACTTCCTTAATAGTTTTCATCTTCCATTAAAAGAGTGTTGTGAATAGCTACCGACTTAACTATTGTAAATATTATTATTATTAGCGAAGGATTGATTGATAGATTGATTGATTATCATATTATCAACTGATTTGTCATCTGTCGATTAATGAAAGATTAATTATTAATTATTATTCGTTTGATTGATTAATTTTAATTTTTTTTTTAAATTATTATATTTAACGTCATAATAATTATACTATTATTGTGGACACATGGGATTTCAACCTATACATGTAAGTAAATATATATATATATGTGTGTGTGTGTGTGAACTGCGTATATAACCGATATGTTTGTATAATAAACATGAATAAATATATGTGTATATATACATATATATATGTGTGTGTGTTTATGTGTCTGCGTGTGTGATTCTGCCATTAAGTAAAGCTTTAATAATTCATCTTTCTACTTTGCCAGGTTAATAACGTTGTAATTATTATCACCTACTATGTCTTTTCATAGAGACGAAATTACGTAACCCCTTATCATATTTCAATCATTTTTTTATCGTCAGTATCATCAGAGTGGTGATAAAAGTAGTAATAAGAATAATAATATGATAATAATAATAATATAATAATAATAATATGATAATAATAATTGTGATGGGGAAGTTGGATGAGAAGTATGATGGTTTTTCTACAACGCTGCTGTACTATCATTATTACTTTTACACGATGAGCTGTTTTTATGTCCTTACTTTTAAGTAACTATAAGTTCTGTTTCCACTCATTGCTTATTATTATTATTAATGCTTATTATTATTATTGTTGTTGTTATTTATTATTATTATTATTATTGCTTATCATTTGTGTTTTTAATTATTGCTATTATTATTATTGTCGTTCATCGCCATTAATTACTACTTACTGTAGTAATTGTTTTATAGTACTTTGAAATTTTTGTTTATTATTATTATTGTTGTTGTTGTTGTTGGTAGAAAGACAAAATGATTCTTCATTTTTTCATCATTCACTCTCTTTTATCTATCTCTCTCTCTCTCTCACTCTCCCGAGTATGAAAAATATAAACAGTAAGATATTAAAATATAAGAAATAGATTGACAATAATGATAAAATCATTTGATATATGAATACATACACATGGGGTGATAAAAATAACACACACACACACATATACATATATGTGTGTGTGTAAGTGCGCGTGTACACATATATGTGCATTGCAAAAAGTAAGCAGTTATTATCACATTAATTACGACAATAACGTTGACATTAATTACATTAAATGACTGCTATAATATCATTATTTAAATGGTTAATGTGATATCATGCGTGTTGGGTGGGTGATTTCATAATGATGATAAATTAGCTATTTTAATCCAATATATATATGTATGTGTGTGTCTGTGTGCGTGTGTGTGTGTCTGTGTGCGTGTGTGTGTCTGTGTGCGTGTGTGTGTGTAGTGCTGCGTGTGTGTGTGTAGTTTGTGTGCATAGCAATGCAAATTGAAAATTCCAAATAATGATCAAATGAATAATTTAAAATCAAAATACGATGAGGATTGTAAAGATGACAAAAGATAAAAAAGAAATAAAATCAAACTATAAAACTTTTTTTGGAGGGAAATACTAAACCGAAGGGAAAGGGTGGGTCTTCCATTTTTTGTGGCTCTTTAGATTGATTCTTCAGAGGAAATTCCAAATCAGAGGTAGATTGAATTTTTCTAGCTTTTTCATTATTGATAATTTGATAATAGTTTTTCCAGAGTTACTAATTTTGGGTTGACTTTTAATTTGTTTTTCTGGTTTTTTCCCTGTTTTTCACCTTCAAACTGAAAGTGAAACGAAGCTGTTGTAATGAGAGATATTTCTCTTGATGATATCCGAACATGGCCCTAGGACTCGTTCGAATCTGCAAGTTTTTATAATTTATTACAATTTATTCATATTTTTGTATATTATTATTCATCAACTATATTAAATTATGTTTATATGAACGAATTATGCAAATTAGCTGACCTATCCCTATCCATTTTGACGCACTTTAACTGGCCATTGGCTACCACAGTTGCGGCCCTTGGTCTGTCCAGTAAAAGAGCTATCTCACCTAATTAGTATGCAAATTTATTCATAAATTATAATACTCTTATTATTATTATTCATCATTATAAAGCAACAATAAAATAATTTTCTTTTTGAAATATTCACCGTCATCATCACAATTTTCATCCACACAATCATTCATTCAAAAATTTCAGAGCATGATAATGATGTTGATGGTAGTGATGATGGTGATGAGGAGGAGGAGGGTTTTTTTTTACCAAAATATTCAGACGGACCGAGACTGCTAACAATGCATGGTTCTGAATTTTCGTTTGTTTTCTGGTACACCGTGGCATTGCCCTGGGTTAGTTATTATTGTTTCTCATTCAAAAAGTACAATTATAATAGATAACAAAAACAACATTAATAGGAAATAATAATGATAATATTAAAACAGTCTGGTTATAAAAAAGAAGAAATTACTACAGATAATCCGACGGAGGCAGTTTAAGTTTTTTTGGTCACATCATGCGGAAGGAAAGAATGGAAAATTTAACAACTACTGGAAAGATTGCAGGGAGAAGAGATAGCAGGTCAACAACGAACAACATTCGTGAAGTCCTTGCCTCACTTGTTGAATATCACCACATTTCAACTACTACAAAGTGTTAAAGATCGGGTTTTGTGGAGGTCGATGGTCGCCAATGTCCTGAACGGAAAAGGCACGCGAAAGAAGAAGAAATGATAATACCCTCAATAATAATACTAACAAAATAGTAGAAATAGATACCTCAAGAATGATGAAGAAGTCGTCGCCTGGATCACCCTGCCTAACCACCTCCTCTCCGTCCTCGAACTGACAGGGCTCCAAGACATCGGCCACCGCATGTCGCTCCCACAGGTCTAGGCTCTCTTTAGAAGAAAAGAGAGAGAACACGATGAAAGAATGTATCTGTCTATCTATCTATCTACTATCTATCAATCAATCTATAAATCTCTATCTATCTATTTATCTATCTATCTATCTATTTATCTATTTATCTATCTATCTATCTATTTATCTATCTATCTATTTATCCATCTATCAATCTGTCTGTCTACCTTACCTAGCACTGTTACTTTTGATAGGAACTCATCATACATTCTTCTCTTTCTAATAGTGCTACCCTGATGACGATTATTATTCTTATTATTATTACTACTACTAGTAGTAGTAGCAGCAGTAGTAAAAGTAGCAGCAGCAGTAGTAGTAGCAACAACAGCAGCAGCAGCAGTAGTAGTAGTAGTAGTATCGCTACAAATATTATTAAAAAGGGAATCAAGAAATTAAATCAAAACGAATGCTAGCCATTAATATCCTTCTGTATGAATCTCTGTCTATGCCCCAGAGTTTGACATCTGTTTTTGCCTAGATATCAATCATTCATTCATGCATTCGTTCATTCATGCATCCATTCAATTCACTCCATATTTATTTATTGATTCGTTTGTTTGTTTGTTCAGTTAAGCATTCAAACATTAATTCATTCATAGTTTTATTCTACTTTCATTCATTCATTTATTTATATAATTGATTCACCAATCAATCATTCATTCATTCGTAATTATAAAAAACCCAATTAGCATGTAAATTATGTCCCTAATTAATATGCAAACAAGGCGCCTAATTAATATTCAAATGACCTTAACAGTGGCCGCTCTCGGTGTCCCGTAAATGAGGGCCAACTCCCCAAAACTGCCACCATCCCCGATCGTATTCACTAATTTGCCATCGACGTATACCTGATTTTAGGAAGGAATTAGTGAAGTGGCAAAAAATAAAAATGGCGAAAAAAATAACGACTGTGATGGTAGTGATGCGCTGGTGACAAACGTCACTATCATAATCGTCATCATCGTCTTCAACGTCATCATCGCTACTAACTTCTACTTCACCGTGGTCAATAACGTAGAAATTATCACCCTCATCTCCTATGATGGTAATAATAATATTATAATTATTTGTTAGTAGTAGTAGAAGAAGCGGCAGCACTAGTAGTAGTAATATTGTAGTAACAGTAGTAGTGGTTGTGGTAGTAGCAGCAGCAGTAGTAGCAAGTAGTTAGTAGATGTAGTATTAAGAGTCATTAACGTTAACAGCAATAACAGCAGAGAAGTAATAACATCATTATCAACATCATTATCATCACCACCTTTCTGTATTATGACCTCCCCGGCATGCCTATGTATTGGGAACATGGCGTCAAAAATGTCGCTGAGATGGATTTATTTAATTATATTTAATTATATTTTTATTTAATTATAAATAATTAACCATTTAAAACTTTGTTTTTTTTAATACTAATTTTAATACAATCTTTAATTTTATCACCTCCTTTCATTTTCATCGAGATGTAAGAACAGAACATTCTTCGAGATGGCTCTACTCAGGGCCGCCATAGTTTTATAATCTTTGGGCACCACCTATTTATGTTTTTTGGTATGTTAATTTCCATAACGGCATGCGATCACCAATGCCATCATCATCACAATCCTCAATATCATTACTATCACCATCTAAATTAACATTACCATTACATATTTACTTGAAAAAAATTATCATCATCTCAAATAAATCATTCCAAATAATTTATTTTCTGAAATCTAAATAAAAACACACCCTCTTGACATAGAAAAGTGCATCTTGAACAGGAATGACCTCTGAACTGACTCCGCCCCTCCTCCGAATGCTTGAGGGTCCAGTGTTCCTAATCCCTAATTCTTCCTCCTTATCCTCTGTAGATGTGGTAGATGTTGTTAGATTTGTCAAATTACTTTCCTGGTAAATGAAAATTTTTCATTTAAATTTTTTGTATGTATGTATGTATTTGTTGCATCTATGTATATATGGTTGTTTATACATATATATATATATATTATATATATTATATATATATATATATATAAACATATATATATATTTATACTAATCAGTACCTTATTTATTTTCTCAAAAAAATCCCTAATAAATGAGAATGGATTCTCTGGCCTGTTGACACAAAGTTGAATAATGCAATCTCTCATGTGATTATGAATGTCGAAGTGTCGAACGTAACCCTCTATGTCTTCTATATTTAAATTATTATTATTATTGTTGTTATTATTATTGTTGCTGTTGTTATTTGCCACATTATCTGGATTATTATTCTTTTTTACAGTGTTATTATTATTCATATTCATTTTTAAATTATTATTATTTCATTGTTATTATACTCTTATTAATATAGAGCTGACTAGTTGACTGAGATGTTGTGATGTTGTCTTTAACTAACGCTAGCTGGATTTGGCTGAAGTAACAGTCGGTCAATGGTTATGGTTAGAAGCAATGATTGTTGTTGGGTTGTTGGGGTTTATTAATTTATTAGACTGTATTTCTTAGAGTTGTGATCAAATTTTGAGATTTATTCACTGTTGATCTTTGATTAGATGAGCTGATTAGTAGAACCAAAATGTATTGTTAGCTGTTAGAACACACAAACACTGGATGAAATTTGTAATTTTAATAATTTAATTCACCAATCTTGAGAAATTGAAATGATTATTTTTTTTATCAATCACTGACGGTATTTTGAAATAGATATATAAAATGTACTAAATAACTTTTTTGATTTTTTTGAGCGTTTATCGACCTACTGAAAAACGTTTGCATTCAAATTAGAGATTCTTCATAGGAAAATTTTTGAATTCTAATTATTTTAATGAAATTACGATTAAATTCACTTTTAAATTTTAAAGTTTTAGAGAGCTTAGAATGATGTTAAAAACTTGGTCTTTTATTTTTGAAAGGTTTTACTTTATAAAACCAAAATAAATAGATAAAACAGTTTACTAAAACTGAAAAAACAACATTTAAGAAATAAATAAAATATGGCAAATAAATAAATTAAAAAATGGTTCTCATTTGAATTAAAATATGTATCAAAATATCCATTACAACAGACCCGATCATAAGAGCCCATTTAAACTGATTACATAATATTACATACCATGTAAAATAATAATAAAAATAATAAAAGTTATAATTCTACTTCTTTTTATTGTTATTGTTATTATTATTTATAATGTAAATATTATAATTATTATCGTATAATAAATTTGTAAGCCTTTTATCATTACATTACTCATAAGTGCGTTTCTTTGAAAATATCGTTCACGTTATTATTAATCACCTTCTTTCTGTCGCTCTTTATCTCTCTCTCTCTCTCTCTCTCTCTCTCTCTTTTCACTCTCTTTCTCACACATTCATTCATTCGTTCATCTACACTCCTTCTATTTCTTTCTCTGTCTCTTCATATAATTATCTATCTTATTCAGTCAATTCAATCTATCTGAGTATCTTTCTCTTTTCTCTCTCTTTCTCTCTCTCTTTCTCTCTTTCTCTCTCTCTTTCTCTCTCTCTCTCTCTATTTTTTCTTTCTCTTTCATTGTCAATTAGGATTCATAATTATCATAAAAACCCACGTAAATAACACAGTTGAGTTGTCAAATTTGTTAGACATAATAAACATTAATAACAATAGCAATAACAATAATAGAAATATTAATCATAATAATAGTATAAATATTAATAATAATATAATACCAAAATATGCCGGAATGTTAAATATTTCAAATATTAATTAGAAATAGTCATTCAGACGTTTTTATCGTATTATATAAATAGATTAAACAAAATTTTGTTAATCATCAAAAATGACAAGTAACACTTCTCTTTTACAGTTTCGCATTTAGGAAATAATTAACATAATAATAATAATAAACAATATTATCATAATTATGATAATTATAATTATTATTTAATTATAACTTAGGGTCATAATATTATTGAAGTCGTCACTTGCTTACGGGTACAAGATTTCTAAGGGCATTTTGATATTTTTTTCACATTACAAGATGCCCTAAAAAACCTCTGATCCGCTTGCTGCAGAAATTAATCGCCTAACGGTGGGAGGCTCCTGATTTTTGAATCTTTGAGTCAAAAGAACCACGTTCAAATGCAACAAGATCCTGGAGTGTTATACGCAAAAGATGGTATGTGTTGGTCTGTGGTTGTTAAGGTGTATTGCGCGTGTTTGTGTGTATGTATGTTTGTGAGTGTGTGTGTGTGTGCGTGTGTGTGTGCGTGTGATATGTTTTAACCATATAATACTGTCAAATAAATAAAAAGTTAATAAAAGTAAATGAATAATTTTTAATTTTTTAATTAATTAACTAAATCAACTTCAAATGATGACAAACAAAAGCAACTGTATTAAATTACATCAGAGATCGCCAACGTGTTTACATCAATATAATAATATAATCACAATTGTTATAATGGGAATAATAATAATAATAATTATTATTATTAATTATATACATTATTATTATTATTAGATATGATAAATAATAAAATCATATTAATTTGAAATTAAATTTAAATAAACAAAAAACAAGTGCAGCTATTAACGAAATTTCGGCATGTCATTCACGGCATCTTATATATAAGGCCTATATATATATATATACATACGCACACACACACACACACACACACACACACACACACACACACACACACACACACACACATACATACATACACACACACATACATACATACACACACACATACATACATACATACATACATACATACATACATACATACATACATACATACATACATACATACATAGAAACACATACAATAATGTGAGGTACATTCATAAAGGGACTATTCACGAATCGGGTACTCATTGGTTCCCATACTTTTTCGCAATATCGCCCATGTATGTATGTTTGTTTGTGTGTGTATATGTTTGTGTGTGTATGCGTTTGTGTGTGTGCGTATGTGTGTTTGTGTGTGTGTGTAATGTTATGCTAATATATGCGCGTATTCGTGCGTGTATGTGTATATGCGCGTATTCGTGTGTCGTGTGTGTGTGCGTATATGCGCGTATTCGTGTGTGTGTGTGTGTGTGTGTGTGTGTGTGTGTGTGTGTGTGTGTGTGTGTGTGTGTGTGTGTGTGTGTGTGTGTGTGTGTGTGTGTACATACATTCATCTTCAATTTTTAAACACATTAGTGTGTGGATACAAAAATTTGTATGCACGTACGTACTTGCTTATGTATGAATATTTAAGTGTGTGTGTACGTGTATGTATATGTGTACGAGTGTGTACGTGTATGTATATGTGTACGAGTGTGTATTTATATGAGGGTATATACGTATTCCCATTAGATATAGCTTGTTTGTCTGTTTGTTTGTTTATTCATTCATTTGTTGGATTAAGGCGTTCTCTTCTTCATCTTCTACTTCTTCTTATTATTACCATTATTAATTATTATTATTAATTATTATTATTAATTATTATTATATATGTTGTATAATTATTTACATGTATTTATAATTATTCACATTTATTTATTTTCACTCTTATATATTATTAATAATTTTCGATTGATTTCATTTTGATTCTATCTTTTTGGTCAATTAAAGATTATTATTATTATTACATATTATTATTATTATTAATTATTATTATTATTATTTTACGTGCTAGCTATCATCCTAGCTTGACGTTTTTCCAAGTTAAGCAAAAATTAATAATGGGCCAATTTGGTTGTTGAAGTTGCATGCAATTAGCACGGTCGGAAATACCAAAGCTTATTATTGTTGTTGTTTGTTGTTGTTGTTGTTGTTGTTGCTGTTGTTGTTGTAACATTACAATGACTTTTAAACTTTACCAATGTGTTTTACATTTTTCTGTGAGAAATGTGAACAATGTAGTAGTAGCAGTAGTAGAAGTAGCAACAGCAGTCGTAGTAGCAGCAGCAGTCGTAGTAGTAGTAGTAGTAGTAGTAGTAGTAGTAGTAGTAGTAGTAGTTGTTATGACAACTTTGCATAATCGCGCTCTTCATACTTCATTTATATCATCCTAAATAGAAACATTGTTATAATGTTTATCATCTTCATGTTAACAATCATCATCATTATTATCATTTTTTTCTTCATCATCATCATAATCTTCTTCTTTTTCTTCAAGATCATCATTGTTTTATTATCTCTTATCGCTCCTTGTTACTAGCCACTCCGTTATTCGAGTTATTACCGGTGCAAATTCTTAACATCTATCTGAAGACAATGACATTTCTTGAATTGCGCGCGTAAAATTCACACACACACACACGCACGCACACACACATGCACGCACACTGTATACAAACATACAAACATACATACATACATACATCCATACATACATACATACATACATACATACATACATACATACATACATACATACATACATACATACATACATACATACATACATACATACATACATACATACATACATACATACATACATACATACATACATACATACATACATACATACATACATACATACATACATACATACATACATACATACATACATACATACATACATACATACATACATACATACATACATACATACATACATACATACATACATACATACATACATACATACATACATACATACATACATACATACATACATACATACATACATACATACATACATACATACATACATACATACATACATACATACATACATACATACATACATACATACATACATACATACATACATACATACATACATACATACATACATACATACATACATACATACATACATACATACATACATACATACATACATACATACATACATAATACATACAAAAATCTCTTTGTACATTCATCTTTCGTGTGCTCTTCAATTGATTGTCTTAGTAGTAGTAGTAGTAGTAGTAATAATAATAGTAGTAGTAGTAGTAGTAGTAATAGTAATAGTAGTAGAAGTAGTAATAGTAGTAGTAGTAGTAGCAGCAGCAGCAGCAACAATATTAGTAGTTTTTTTATTTAACCAACCTATCGATTTTTGTTGAATAAGTAAAATTTATGTATATATATATATATATATATATATATATATATATAGTTACAAATGATAAAAATTAAAAATAATAATTATTATAATAATAATTATAATAATAATAATTATTATTATTTTCAATTAATATTCGTCGCCATGTTTGACAATCAAATTTTAAATGTCAAGACTTCTTCTTTTTTAAAAAAAAAGCCTATGAAAATTTAGATGAATAGTATTTTTAAAATTATGACAAATTATGGTTATAATAATAATAATAATAATAATATAGATGATGGTAATAATGATTATAATTGCAAGATGAAGAAGAAAAAGACGAATAATGACGATTCAATCATTCCTTCGTTCATCCATTCATTCATTCAATCATTCATTCATTCATTCATTCATTCATTCATTCATTCATTCATTCATCATTGATTGGTTCATTTCTCCACCCATTCCTTCGTTCGTTCGTTACTGGACACACTCATTTACAAATAAAATTACAAACCATTGCAATAATTACCATTAACAAAAGTACTAACTCTAACTACCCACTTAACCCTCTTCTAATTGTAATCTGCCTTGGCTACGCTAGCATTCGAAGCCGGTACCATGCGCAACAGCTGCGGTTTCAAGACGGCGTCAACGTCTTGGGTGATTCATTTGTCTAGTGCAAATTTCTGTTCACTGTAGTTTAAAAATGCTTGGAGTTCTAATTTTTAATAAAAGAATGAAGATATAATTTTTAAACTGAATGAATTATCATTTATATATATATATATATATATATATATATATATATATATATATATATATCTGAATATTTACACGTGTGTTTAATTATATTATACATAATTATATGTATATTTATGTCGTAATGGTATATATAAAGGCAGGCATACATATTCATATAGCATTAGTGGCACGTGTTAGCATTTCAATTCTTGCGTGGCTGATGAAAACAACAACAACAACAATAATAATAACATTAATAATGATAACATTAATAATAATAATAATAATAATAATGTCCTATAATAATAATATTAATAATAATAGTAATAATAGTAATAATAACAACGATAATTTCGATCGGTGATTTTTACCTTTAAATTGGTAGGACTTGTGTATATATATATATATATAGATAAAAATAATAATAATAATAATGATTAAAAATAAAGAATTCATTGACAATAATAATAAATAATAGTAATAATAATGTTATTATTATTATCAAATAATAATAATAATTGCCTAATACGGCTTATTCGTTTGTTGGACATGTCCAGAAAACCATCCAATAGAGAAGCACGGCTATTTATTATTATCATTGTTGTTATATTATATTATTATTATTGTTGTTGTTATATTATATTATTATTATTATTGTTGTTATTATTATTGTTGTTGTTGCATCCTATCGCCTATTCACTCGCACGGGCAAGATCACTTCCATGTTATCAAAACAGTGAATGTTCATTCAAGTTGATGATGATGATGATGACGACGACGGAGATGATGATGATGATGCAGAAGAAGATGATGATGATGATGGTGGTGGTTGTGATGATTAGGATGATTTGAAAATAAGTCAAATTCAACTGTTGTTAAGTATATAGACATTTTTTATTTTTTGACTAAAGATCTCACTCTCTTTCTTTCTCTCTCCCTCTCTCTCTATATATATATATTCAAATAAATGCATATTTAATCTCAAATGTAAATGTAACAATGCTAATAACAGCATAAAAGCAATAATAATAATAATAATAAAAGCGGAAGTATTAGTAATTTTTAAAACCAAAACAAATTGTAATTAATAATACTAAGTGTAATGTTAATTAATACTATTCTGTTTAATACTTACAGAGTGTAGGTGCATGTAAGCATGTGAAAGCAGTTTACCTAAGTAACTATACCAATGAGATCATTTATTTATTTGTTCATTCATTCATTCGTTCATTCATTCGTTCATTCACTTACTCGTTATTCATTCATTCATTTTTTCATTCACTCAATGCCTTTTTGTTCTTTCATTCGTTCATTTTATTCTTTGATTTTTTCGTATTTGAATTTGTTTGCTCGTTCGACGGTTCATTCGTTCATTCGTTCATTCATCCATTCATTCATTCATTCATTCATTCATTCATTCATTCATTCATTCATTCATTCATTCATTCATTCGTTCATTCATTCATTCATTCAGAGTTGAATGAATCCTCACTCTTCTTCTTAGGATTGAATGCCACATTCTTTTTCTTCGATGTTGATGACTTTTTCTTTTCCAACGTTCCTTCAATGAGTGAATGAATGAATGACTGACTGAATAAATGAATTAATGGATGAACAGGCAAATGAATGAATGACTGGATGAAGTAATGGATGAGCAGGTGAATGATCGACTGAATGGCTAAATAAATAAAGTAAATTGCGACAAGCTTGTGTTACATAAAACCGTACATGGCTGACTTTATAATTAACAATTAATATTTCCTCATAAGAACGAACGAACGAGCGATTGAATGAACAAGCGAATGAATGAATGAATGAATGAATGAATGATTGAGTGAACGAAAGAATGGATAGCTGAATGAAAGAATGCAGAAAGAACAAAGGAACGAACAAATAAAAGAATGAATTGGCTTGAAAGTATTTAGTATCTCCATGCGATTTTTATCTGAAATACTTTCTCAGCATCGTTAAAAGCTTCAAATGAACGAGGGAATGTAGAAACGAACGAACGAAAAAACAAACAAATGAATGAATAAAAGTACAAACAAATGAATGAACGATAGAGCGAACAAATAGATGAACGAACGAACGAATAGATGAACGAACGAACAAATAGAAGAGCGAACGAACGAACGAAAGAAAGAGCAAACAAACGAATAAAAGAATAAAATTGGCGGGAAAAAGACCTTTCGCCGACTTTATCAGCAACTTTTCATCCTCCGAGATCAGACTGCTTGCTGTGCTGTGGCGTGCGGCTGCTGAGTTCTTATTCGTCATTGTGGCATCCTTCAGTTTCTGTCTATCCTGCTCGCTGAGTTCCGGCATGTCGTCTGATTGGTCGATTGGTTGATTGATTGATTAATTGGTTGATTGATTGATTGATTGGTTGATTGGTTGGTTGCTTGTTTGAATGAGTGGTTGGTGTTTTTGTTTGTCCGCTAGGTATGGCTGTTGTGTTTCATTGATTGATTGATTTGTTGATTGATTGGTTGGTTGACAGGTTGATTGGTCATCATCATGATCACCACCATCATCATCATCATGATCATCATCATGATCATCATCATCCTCATCACGATCATCATCATCACTATCATCATCATCATAACTCACCATCGTCATCATCTGATGGAGCATTGGCTTTCTGCTGTTTCCTCACCCAAATGCTGGTAATGATATAAATAAATAACAATCATCATCATCGTCATCATCACCACCATCATCATCATCATCATCACCACCATCGTCATCATCACCGCCGTGACCTATCTTTAGCTCCTTTCAAATTATTATTCACGTAAGTTGATGGATAGTAGGAGGACATTTTGCTCTGCTTCATCTCTTTATCCTTATCTTTATCCTTTTCCTTGTAATCGCTTTTCCGCTGCCAGTTAATGTTTGGGGGTTTTGAGGATGGCGTTTGATGCTGCTGTTGCTGCGTTTTTTTGTTTTTCTTTTTTTTATCGTCGTCGTCGTCATCGTCCACGTTGTTGTTGTTGTTGCTGTTATTTTTATTTTTTTTATTGTTTTTATTATTATTATTATTGTTGTTGCTGTTGTTGTTGTTGTTGCAATCCAATTTCGTAGTGCTCAATTCATCCCCTCCACCGTCCTTCAGACGAACTTTCCCGACACCTTCAAATTTCCTGACAACAATTTCATCATCATCATCAGCAGCACCGAAGTTGCAGTTACTATTATCATCACCACCACCTGCCCCATCATTATCATGATCACCATCGTCGTCTTCGTCATCATCATCAGCAGCAGCACCCCCGCCAAGTCTGCCAGGGTTGGATTTAGCAAAAATCTTTCCACTTAGAAAATCATTCCTCAAACTTTCAAAGTCGAAAACTTTTGTCGGGTACTTCGGTTTTATTTTATCCAGCCCGGAGTTTTTCAACTTCTCGCAGGAGATGGCGTTTTTTAGGGATGTGACTGAGAATTTCTCGCCAGCGAACTGGCCATCTCCTAATCCTTCGAAATCGCCAACGTCGTCGTCGTCGGCGCTTTCACCGAGTTTACCATTACGCTGTCTTCTTAGTAAGGCCTAGTGAAAAATAGAGAAATAATAATAACGACAGCAACAACAAAGTTAATAATAACAAATAATAATAATAATAATTCTCACCCTCAACTGAATAATATTCGTAAAAGCCAGCTGCCTCCAACTGAACTTGCTAGCAAGTTGCGTAAGGTCGTCATCAATGGTTTTGCACTTATGGTGCTTCTGGAAAACTCTCTGCCATAATTTTTCGTCCTGGCAAAACTGTTTGACGATGATGATGAAGATGATGACGACGATGATGACGTAATGATGTGATTGTGATGATGATGATCGCGTCGAGGTGATGATGAAGATGATAACATAAAGAATTCGATGTACCAATCAATTAGCCATCAGACCAATATATTGTGACTCAACCAATCTGTCATGTGTCAGGACAACCAGCCACTCAATCAATCACTCTATCAATCATTCAATCACCCAACCAATCAACAAAACAACCGGCCAACCAGCTAGCCAACTCTACTTACGTTAAAAAACTGCTTGTTAACTTGAGCCAGTCTGTCGAAATCGTCCAAATTTAAGTAGAGAATAATTTTTAAAATTATTTTTTCGGGCAATCTCGGCAAAAAATCAATATGGCCGCTCGTCAAGTTTATGACGTAACATAGCACTTCCGGGCCAAAAACTCTTTTTATATCGTCTGGTAGGTTGAGAAGAAAAAATATTTAAATTTGTAAGGTGAAACTAACCTTGGATGAAATGGATATAGTAGTTAAATGTGTCGGTTGATGCTTTGAAATTTCTCACTCTCTCTTTCAAGCTCTCTCTTTCTTTCTCCCTCTCTCTAGATCTTTCTCATTTCTAATATATAGATTAAATGAAAAAAAATTCCTCAGCAGAAGTTTACTTTTGACGAAATGCTTATCTTTAAATTTTTCATGAGCCACTCTTGCTTCAGTTGGTTGAGATTTCACCTTCCTTGATGTTATCTTCCAAGTTCGAAAAATCACCTACAAAATTATTATCAAATGATTTATTCAAGAATAATGGGCAATAATGTTTTTAATTACGATTAAATGGTAATTTGAATGGAAAAAATAAAAAATAAGATAGAAATTTGCGCTTGCTTGCCTCTGTTCTGTTAACCACTATTTGATGATAATCCTGAAACGGACTTGGAGCTCGGGCGTAGCTTGAGTAAAAAATACCGTCTTTTATTAGATCCATGTTCTCAATTTTTAATCAATTTTCAGCCATTTTTCATTCAATTAATAATTAATAAATAACTAGACACCAAACCAAGTTTTGAAAAACTGTTTATGTTACCATAGTTACAGATGGTGTGCTGAAAAATTAATTTAAGTCCAGTTATTGACTATTTCTGGGCAAGATAGAAAAGCTTCACTAGAGTGAAAATGCTAGTTATTATTATATATATTAATAAATAATGTTTAATTGTTATAAAAAATAGTTTCAATCGTTTCATGTGTAGATATATTTTTAGCACGTTTATTATTATAATTTGAAAGACAAATTTTAAAACGCGCTCACTCTATAATAAACAACAAACTAAAATGGCGGACAGTAAAGAAGATGAGAATGACTCTAATTATCATTTTTACCGTAACTACAACTCAAAAATTACTAACGAATTCAAGCAAAATTCTAATTTGCCTCCGGGGGCTCGTGTCGTAATAATTGAAAAATCCGAAACCGGATTCGGCTTTAACGTCCGTGGTCAGGTAAATGAAGGGGGCCAGTTGAGAAGTATCAACGGGGAGTTGTATGCCCCCATGCAGCATGTTAGTGCCGTACTTAGGAACGGATCGGCTGACAGAGCTGGAGTCCTAAAGGGTGATCGTATACTTGAAGTGTGGGTATTATTTTTTTCTTTGCTTTATTTTAGCAGGTCACAGAATTTTCAAAAAAAAAATTTGTTTGTATAAAATGTTTATAAATTACTTTTTCTTATAAAGCAAAATTTGCTGATTAAAAAAATAATGCCAAATTTATTATTGTAGCATTTATAATTTAGTAATAAATTTTAAAAGTTTTCAAATAAGTTTTTCTAATAATTTATTTTATTTTATATTTATTGATATTTTAATTTAATTTGTGCCCAGTATTGTTACAATAGTATGCTAAAATAAACCAGGGAAGTAATCAAATTTTATTTTTTTTAAATTGCTTAGGAATGGGGTCAATGTTGAAGGGGCCACACACAAGCAGGTCGTCGATTTAATTAGATCAGGCGATGATCGTTTGGAATTGACAGGTTTCATTGTTATTATATTGTATTATTTATGTATTTACTTATATGCTTCTTTTTATATTATTGATAGTTTAAAAAATGTTTTTCAAATACCACATGTGCATTTCATTTGTTAAAATAATATTTTATTGTAGAATGTCATTATAATAAATTAAAATAACTTAAACACAAATTTTTTATCTAATTCAACTAAAAATAGAATTAACTATTTTAACTTTACAAAATTATTTAAAAAAAACCTTGCAATTTTCTAAATTTAGTGATATCAGTTCCCCACCGAACGGCAGAGGACAGTCTAGATGGCAGCGATGACTCATCATGCCCCTCGACGATAGATTACTCTGAAAAAAGATCCCTCCCCATCACTATTCCTGATTATCAAACCGTTGAAAGTGGAGGGCAAAAATATACAGTTGGTTTTCCATACTTTTTTAAATTAATTGTAAAAACTAACACCATAATTTTTACTCATTGTTTATATTTTTTTTTATATTTTGTATTATATATATTATGTTTTGTATCATTTTTTATGTATTTATATATTATTTATTTCATTAATTTTTCCTATCTGCTTAAGTTAATTCAAACAAAATATCCTTATTAGGTTGCCTAATTTTTGTGGTCTATATTTATTCACATTCCTAACTCCTAATTTAACAGATGTTCAACATCCACATGGCTGGCCGACACCTCTGCTCTCGTCGCTACAGCGAGTTTTACAAGCTTCACACACTGTTGAAGCAAGAATTTCACGATTTCAACTTTCCAAAACTACCTGGAAAGAAATTTTTTCAACTTAGTGAGCACCAATTAGATACAAGAAGGCGTGGCTTAGAACAGTATTTAGAGAAAGGTAAGTGGGGTTTATTATTTTGTTTCCTGTGATCTGATTGGTTGATCAGTTTGATGGTTATATTTGATTGGCTGGACTGGTGGCAAATTCAATTTGATCTGTTGCATATCATTGTGTAAGATCAATTCTGATGATTTGATTGGCCGTCTGGATGAGGTGAGAATTTGATTGGCCTGCCAAATGGTTAGTTTTATTTTATTGGCTGATAAAAAGAGTGGGTGGGGGTAATTTTGAATCTGTTGGTTTGATTGGTCGGACAATTCAATAATTTTTTGATCATAATAACAATAATAAATTTAATAATAAAAATTATTTCAAATAATTATTATTATATTTTCACTAAAACAGTGTGTACAGTAGTGGTAATAGCAGAATCTGACATCATGAGAGACTTCTTATCATCGTCATCATCGTCATCGTCGCTCCCAACATCATCATCAACATCATCATCGTTATCATTTGTTTGTATTTCTTGGTCACTGTCATTATTGTTATTGCTGTTGTTCTATTGGTGACTAAATGTATTCATACTTTTAATATGGTCATCATCATTACCACCATTATCATCACCATCATTTTCATCATCTTCATCATCATTACCATCATCATCGCCATCATCATCGCCATCTTCATCATCACCACCACCATCATCACCACCACCATCATCACCTCCATCATCATTATCACCATCAACATAGATAGTACAAAACAAGGTGGAGTTAAAAATAAGCTTACCCAATCACAGCATCTCAACTCTCAACATACAAAGACATTTAAACGCGGCCGAAGTTTATCAAGTTTGTCGATTGGTTGACTGTTGGTTTGATTGGTTGATTTGATTGGGTGGTTAAATAATTAATTCACTTGTTCAATCATACATTCAATCATTTATTCAATCATTCATTCATTCATTCATATTCAGTTATTGGCCGACAAGCTTGGCTGGAGTAGTGAGGTGTCTGCCTGTTTCTTCCTTTTCGAAATTGAAGAAAATAATTTTGGTTGGTTTGAATGGTCGATTGGTTGATTGATTGGCCGATTTTGGGTTGGTTTGTTGATTGATTGGCCGATTGTGGGTCGATTGGTTGATTGATTGGCCGATTGTGAGTCGATTGGTTGATTGATTGGCCGATTGTGGGTTGGTTTGTTGATTGATTGATTAGTTAATTAATTGGTTGATTGATTGATGGATTGATTGATTGATTGATTGATTGATTGAAGAACGAAAGTTGGATGACAACGAGAAACCTCATGCTTTATACATTGGCAATTACAATACATCATCTGTAACGTGTATCAGTCTTAACAGGTTGGTTTAAGGGACCATTGATTGAATGAAGGAATGAGAGAATGAATGAATGGATGAATGAATGAATGGATAAATGAATAAATGAACGATTGACTGATTAAGAATGGATGAATGAATGAAGGGTTGACTGATTAATTTATTACCTGATGGGAAAATTAACTATTTATTCAAATGTGTGCATCGAGAAATAATTGAGTGAATGAATAAGCGATTGAAAGATTGATTTATTCTATTATTCACTCAATCAATTGTCATTTAGCCGTTTATTTATTCATCCATTCTTTTATTCTTTTATTCATTCATTCATTCATTCGTTCATTCAGGTGTGTATATTCAATAGGAAGAGAGAGAAATATTTTGTTCAAAGACCCGACAGCTGTAGATATCTTGTATCATCTAGTACGTTAACACTCATTCATTCATTCATTCATTCATTCATTCATTCATTCATTCATTCATTCATTCATTCATTCATTCATCCATCCATTCATTCATCCATTCATTCATCCATTCATTCATTCTACTGTTTGTACTGTCATTCATTCTTGCTATTTATACATTTATTTATTTCCAATTATCTAATTTATCATTGAATTAATTGAATAATATATGTAATAATGATATTTATTCACTTCACAAACTCCAACCCATCAACCAATCACAATTAACTTCACCTACCGACCAATCAGAATAATTCACTCTAACTAACCGACCAATCACAATCAGGCAGTAGCACAATTGGATAACGAAGAGATCTCAGTTAGCACGACTCAGACTTCTGAACTGAAAGCACTAAAAGATTCAAATAATACAATTAAGGTATTTTTTTTCAATCATCCATCCTTCCATCCATCCATTCATTCATCCATTCATTCATTCATTCATTCATTCATTTAAATCTCTTGCAGTTCATAGAGTATTGTCAGGGCTTGCCTAATTATGCGTGCAAAATCTTTCCCCACTGCAAGTGCGACGCCCGCAAAGACGGTCACGTGATAACGTGCGTGGGGCTTAAGGGCATCAGTCTGCAGGCCTGCACCGCCAACGGCCAATCAGAGGTGAGCTTTTTTTTATTAGTTGAAGTTCGGTTGGTTCAGATTATTTTGATTGAGTGAAGTTTATGTAATTATGATTTTTCCTATTTCATCTCCACAAGTGATGGTAATATATGCAAATTTATGCGAATTAACTCTGCTACTGGCAGGGACAGGTGGTGGAATTTGATTGGTCAGATATAAATAGCTTGGAAGCCGACCAATCGGCTCTCATCTTCACCTACAAGAAACCAGGTCGAAAATGTCGGACTGTTAAGATTTACTCACAATACGTTAGTGATGATGGTGTTGGTGATAATAATAATAATAATAATAACAATAATAATAATAATATAATAAATATAACAATTATATTTCTCTTTCTCAGAATTCATCAATGCTTGACTGCTGTAACCAAATGAAGAGTGATTCAGACTTAACAGCTAGTGACGGCAATAATAATTATAATAATAATATAATTAATAATAATAATAATAATGTTATTAGTATTAGTAGCAGCGGTAGTAGTAGTATCATGACGTAGTAAGATGCTCCACTCCTGCTGTTCTGATTGGTTGCTATATTTAGCCCTCGTTTTTGATTAGATGTCCTTTATTCTATTAATAGTTATTTGCTTGAAAATGATTGGCCGACGACGATGCTGATGATGCTGCGCAATGACGTATTTAGAATTCTCCTCTGTCAGTTTTCTGTTATCATTTTAAACATTTTTGAAAAAAAAATGTATTTATTTGTCTACTTTCAAATTATTTTTATATATTTAATGAATTTTTTCCTCAAATTTGTTGATATAATTTGTTAATATTGTATTATTATTTAAATTACACACACACACATTTGTTTATAAAGAGTTAGAGAGATCTGAATCACAAACTCTTTATCATGGTACCAAAAGAATCACTATTGATTTATTTTTGGTCAGCTCATTAACATAATATATTATCCTCATCATCATTAACATAAATCCTCGCCCTCATTATCAATATTCGAATTTCATCTAGCTTGCTCATTAACATAAATTATGATAAAATGTTCTCATCATTCGTAACGTTCTTACGTTAAATTTTTTGGAGGTTTTTTTTCTTCCATTACAATATAGTCAGACTTTTAGGATCTTATTTTCATTTGTTACATTCATTATTCGTTCGTTTGTCTGCATTAATATTATTTACTCTTATTATTATTTCATCTCCCACACACACACACACACGCACAAAGACAGACACACACACACACAATATATATATATATATATGATCTGTTTGTTTTGTTTTGTTGACTTCGTTTATGCAATTTTCCCCGAAATTACTTAATTTATAAATAGTGAGAAACTGTTGGTGACCAACTATAATTATTATTAATATAATTATAATTGTTGGTGACCAACTATAATTATTATTAATATAATTATAATTGTTGGTGATCAACTATAATTATTATTAATATAATTACAATTGTTGGTGATCAACTATAATTATTATTAATATAATTACAATTGTTGGTGATCAACTATAATAATTAATATAATTATAATTGTTGGTGATCAACTATAATTATTATTAATATAATTATTGTAATTATCTTTATAGTTGTTGTTATAATTTTACTATTTAATTATTTATTATTATTTATTACTATTTTTATTTTATTTTATTTTTACTATTTACAATTGTAATTAGCGTTTTTTTCATTCATTCGTTCATTTTTTACTCAAACATGCTTATACACAAACACGCCTATCCGTGTGCATGTGTATATATATATATATATATATATATATATATATATATACATACATACTTTTTATATATATTTCATATATATTACATACAATCTACTATATATATGCATTTGCATGTATACCATATGAACATTATATATAGTAGTAATAATAATAATTATTGTTGTTATTATTATTATTGTTGTTATTTTTATTATAACATACATAGTGATGGTTGTTACTATTTAGAAGTTTTTATGTATATTGTATGTATGTATGTATGCATGTATGTATGTATGCCTATAGGTATACTACAAAAAGTTGTAGATTATTGAACCCAATTAAGTTAAATAAAGTACCATTACACGAACGCACACACACGTACACACACACATACATTTACACAATAACTTTCTTCTTACCATCAATCTACGATCCGACAATAAAAATTTTATTTTTCGATAGAAAAATATAAAAAAAAATAGAAGCTATATTACGTAGTTAACTTAATTAGTTCGAATAATTTCGTCAATCAATCATTCATTCATTCACTCACTCATTATTTCATTTATTAATTAATTCATTCATTCATTATTTTATTTAATCAGTCATTCAATCAATCCGGCCTTGTCACTCAAATCCGGAAATACGATTTTAAACACATCCCTGTAGTGGCCTACGAAATGTACCTCCAGCCCGTCAACGATGAAGTTAGGTAGGTCGGAAAAATCTTTTTGATTCTCGGCCGGAAGTAAGATGCAATCAACACCGGCTCTTTTTGCCTGTAAGAGTGAGTGAGTGTGCTTGTATGTGTGTGTGTTTGTATGTGTTTGTGTGTGTGTGTGTGTTTATATGTGTGTGTTGTGTGTTTAAGTATTAAAAGATTAATGAATTCTATCTTATTCTTCTGCGCAAACCAAGATTTATCTACGGAAAATTTAAAAATAGTATTCAAATGAAACATACTAAAACGCGCGCGCACACACACACGCACGCACGCACACTAAAACACATTCACACACACATCAACACAAAAATCCAGATACTCCACGACACTTTTGTTGAACATCATACATACGGCAATTATTTTCTCCTTTATTCCGCCAACAGGAAGAATTTTGCCTGTTAGTGAAACCTCCCCCGTCATGGCGACGTTCTGCCTAATTGGCCGATCGAGAGCCAGAGAGATCAGGGCCGTTACTAAAGTGCAGCCCGCGCTGGGCCCGTCTTTCGGAGTGGCCCCCTAATGAATGAGTAAATGAATGAACGAGTGATTGTTCAAAGATGAAACGATTTTGAATGAATGATTGTATAGATTATTTGGATTAGATCAATTAATGAATCAACCAGTTGATCATTTGTTCAATCAATCAATCATTCATTCATTTATTAAATCAATCAGTAAAGCAAACAACCAACCAATCAACAACCAGTCAAACCCTGACACTCGACACAATGCTGTCTTTCTCACAGCACCATAAATTGACAGCATCCAAGGCCTCCGAAAGAAACAATATTTTAAAAGCACTGGGCGTCTAGGAAGAGCAACAACAACAACCGGCAAAAAAGAACGACGAACCAACCACCACCAACCAATCAACTTACTTCCGGTACGTGGATATGCACGTGACCTTCGGATAATTTCCTGTTAGAGGCATCTACACTATTGATTACGGACTTAGCAACCGTGTAAGCAATCTGCCCGCTCTCCTTCATCACGTCCCCAAGATGCCCTGTTAACTGCAGACTGCCTTGCCTGCCATCACTGCTGCCTAATTTGGGGAAAATAAAAAAAAGATGAAATTATACAGAGAGATGGAGAAAGACAGAGAGTTAAAAGAGGGAAAGAAAGAGATAGATGGATGGATGGATGGATAGATAGATAGTTAGATAGATAGATAGATAGATAGATAGATAGATAGATAGATAGATAGATAGATAGATAGATAGATAGATAGATAGATAGATAGATAGATAGATAGATAGATAGATAGATAGATAGATAGATAGATAGATAGATAGATAGATAGATAGATAGATAGATAGATAGATAGATAGATAGATAGATAGATAGATAGATAGATAGATAGATAGATAGATAGATAGATAGATAGATAGATAGATAGATAGATAGAAGAAAGAGATATAAAAGAGAAAATGAAGAAAGAACACAAGAAAGACAGAACGTGATAGATAGGTAGAAATAATTTTTTATAACGATAAATCAAATTTACATCTGTGTAAAATACCCTCACCTCCGTCATCATTTCCCTCATCATCGTAATCACTATCGTCACCGTGTTTACCTCTTTTAGGCCTTCTCTGATTGGTCGGATGTTTGAATCTTGATTCTATGTATAACGTGGAGCCACCTAGTGAGTATTGGTAAAATTTATTTTTGAAAATTTTTAAAATGACTATATAATCGTCAATCAATCAATCAACCAGCCAATCAATCAATCTCTCAGCCAACCAACCAATCAGCCAGCCTTCCAACCAACTGATCAATCAATCAATCAACCAACCCATGGCCGTCCAGGCAAGCCCCATAACCACGCCCACGGGCGTGTCTTTATACAACCTATCACTGTTGAACACTGGCTTGCCGACGAACGTCTGCAAGTTGCTGTCGTCTATCTCAATTAACTCGCGCTCTCTTTGAACCAGCTGGTAGGCAGCTTTCCGGAAGATCTATGGAAGGAGTCGAGAGAGAAATTAAAGAGAGAGAGAAAGTAAGAGAAATTGAGAAAAAGAGTGAGGATGAGAGAGAGATTGCGATGAGGATAAAATGATAGAGATGATGAGACTAACAATATTAAGAAACAAGCAACAAGAAAGAATTAAAGACGAAGAAAGAGAGAGAAGGAGAGAGAGAGAGAGAAAGAGAGAAAAAGAGAGAGAGAGAGAGAGAGAGAGAGAGAGAGAGAGAGAGAGAGAGAGAGAGAGAGAGAGAGAGAGATCTAAAAAGATGGATTGATAAACGCACTAAAATATACTGGAACATCAATGAGAAGATTAAAAGAAAGAGAGAAAAGAGAATGAAAGGAAGAAAGAAAGGAAGGAAGAAAGAGAGGAAGAATGGAAAAATAAAGAAATAAAAAATAACCTCCCCACCATGGGCTAACTAAATTACCTTTGACAGATCGACATTGACATCGAGATAGTGATCGAGAAAGTTGGAATTTTGTTCGGGGTCCAGTAGCTCCAAGAGGGCGGAGGCCGGGTCACCCTGGTAGCCCCGCCCCATTTTGTCGACCTTGACAATCATAATAATAAGAAGTGTAATAATTAGTTACAATAATAACGGTGATAATAATTACGATGATGATGATAATTGGCTGATGATGTAATAATGACATAATCAGATGGACTAGATAGATGGATGTGGATGGTAAGATTGATAGATAAACGAATGATTAATGAATGAATGAAGAAACCAGAGAATGAATAAATGAATGAATGACTGAATGAAGAAACCAATGAATGAATGAACGAACGAATGAATAATAGTAATAAAATCACCTCATCTATCAGCACGAGAGGATTTTCAGTTTTCGTCTTTTTCAGGCACTGTATAATTTTGCCTGGCATGGCTCCAACATACGTTCGTCTGGTGATGGTTGCGATGATTATGATTGTGATGATGATGGAGGCGATGATGATGATGATGCTGATGTTCACGGTGATGATGATGATGACGTTTTGTTGTGTTGTTATTTTGATCATGATGAAGGTGATAGTATTGATGATGATGGTTTGAAATGATGATGATGATGATAGCTGAAATTAATAATCATAACCTATGACCCTTTATGTCGGCCACATCTGTCATACCGCCCACGCTAAATCTGTAGTACTGATGATGATGACGACGACGATGATTGTGATTATTAATATTATGATGATGATGATGTTGGTCTGGTGATGATGATGTTGGTCTGGTGATGATGAAAAAAAGAGAGAAAAATATGAGCTGGTGAGTAAAATTATCAATCACCATTATCATCATCATCATCATCATTATCACCATCGTCATCATCATCATCACAATCATCATCATCATCACCTCTCTATTGAGAGCCTTGGCGATTGATTTAGCGATGCTCGTCTTTCCAACACCAGGCGGTCCGTAGAAGCATAATATCTTACCTAATAATAATAATAATAATAATAACAACAATAATAATAATAATAATGATGAGGAAGATGAGGATAGCAAATTATAATAAATTATGCTAATTACCCTGTGTGGAGCCTTTTAATTGGCTGACGGCAATGAACTCCTGAGAGGTTTGAGCAATTGGTCGAATGAATGATTGAATGATTTAATGAATGAATGAATGAGTAAATGAACGAACGACTGAGTGACGAAAGGAATATATGAAGAAATGAATAAAAGAACAAACAATTGTGTAAAGGAACGAACGAACGAATCATGAATAAATATGAAAGCGTACAAACGACGAAGAAACGAACGAAAGAATGAAAAAATAAACGAATTAAGAGCATTATCATAATCATAACTGACCAGTATTCTTTTTTTGACGTCATCCATGCCGTAATGATCTTCTTCCAGTATGTTTCTCGCCCTCTCTATCTCTAAATTCTCCATGCTACATTTGCCCCATGGTAAGCTAGTTAGCCAGTCTAAATAATTTCTCGTAACGCTAATTGGTTGGGTGGTTGGTTGGTTTGATTGATTGGTTTGATTGGTCGGTTGGTTGGTTGGTTGAATGATTGACAGATCGGTCAACTGATAAATTGGTTGGATGTACGAGAAATGGTGTTATTGATACATAGATAATAACAGGGGGAAAATAATGAAAGTAATAATAACACTAGCAAACATTTATTTATTCATTCCTTCATTTACTTCATTCACTCATACATCCATTCAATTAATCATTCATTCCTTCACTCCTTCATTACTTAAATTCGGATGAATGCGGATCGAGGAATGATAATTTATTAAGCTCCTCATCAACCACCTCCATCACGTGGGCCGGAACTTTCAAGTCCTTTGATTGGTTGGTTGAATAATTGAGTGATTGGCTGAGTGATGTGATTGGTTGATTGACTGAGTGATGTGATTGGTTGGTTGGATGTTTGGCTGAGTTAGTGATGCGTGGAAAGTTCTTACGATAAATTATAATTAAAAAAGATATAATAACAATAATCATATTATTAAAAATTTAAATTCACTTTTAGTTTTTCCCTAAACTTATCGACGACAGCATCTTTGTCCTCCTTCTCCATCCCCAGCTCCTTCTTAATGACCTTCAGCTGCTCCATTAGCATGTACTTCCTGTGCTGCTGCTTCACTTTCTCTTCAACCTGCATGAGTGAGTGAATGAGTGCGCGAATGAATGCGTGAATGATTGGATGAATGGTTGGATGAATGATTGGATGAGTGGTTGGATGAATGGTTGAATGAGTGAATGAATGGATGAATGAACGATAGATCATCGTCATCATCACCTCCTTTCCTATCTTCTGTTGAAGCTTACTGAGTTCATATTCCTTCTTTAGCAACGCCAACGACAACATCAGCCTTTTGTGGATCTAGAAGTTGTAGCAACAACAACAACGTTAATAAAAACCACAACAACAACAATAATAACAACAATAAAAACAACAAAAATAATAATAATAATAACCATAAACAACAATACTATAGATAACAGACAATTAGCCAAGAATATGATAGACAGAAGAATCCATTCATTCATCTGTTCGTATGTTTGTTCATTCCTTAATCCATTCATGTATGCATGCATTCATTCATCATTCATTCGCTCATTCATGCATTTATACATTCATTCAATCATTCCAGACATTTTGTTCTTCTAAGACTTCTTGCAATTCATATGAATCCGCTCCAGTTATGGCGGCTCCTGAATTAATGAATGAATGAATGAATGAATGAATAAAAAGTAAATAAAAGAATGAACAAAAGAATGAATGACTATAGTAATCATTTTATCGTTTTAATTTGTCAATCTGGTTTCGGTGTACTTTCATTTTAAAAATCGTACCACATGAACATACATAATTGATTGATTGATTGATTGATTGAATGATTGATTGATTGACTGATCGATTGATCGATACTTCAACTTCCACTTCACTAATTTTAGTAAGTAACTCAGACCGAGATCGCTGAGGTAGATGGGATTGTCAACCACCCTCTGACCACCTTGCAACATTTGTGCAACAGTTTCCCTGAATGAATGAATGAGTGAATGAGAGGATGAATGAATGAATGAATGAATGAATGGGTAAGTGAATGGATGAATGAATGAATAAGTGAATGAATGAATGAGTAAGTGAATGGATGAATGAATGAGTGAATGAATGAATGGGTAAGTGAATGAATGAGTGAATGAGTGGATGAATGAGAGAGTGAATGGATGGATGAATGAATGAATGAGTGAATAGGAAACCTGTACAAAGGATTCATTGATATTATATCTCTTATTGTCTTTACTACCTCTGCTGTTAAAGCCTGATGGATGGAAGAAAAAATGAATGAATGAAAGAACGAACAGATGAACAAATGAATAAATAAATGATTAAATAAATGAACGAATGAATGAAAAAAGAAATGACAAAACCTTCATTTCTTCATTAATCTTAAAGGATTCATGCGTCACATTCTCAATTCCGACTATCAAAACTTTATCAATGGCTAGCGGAGACGGTGTTGATAACGATGCTTCGAAACCCCCAAACGAAGATGACGATGACGATGATGATGATGGTGATGATACCCCGGAGTCAGTTTCGGTTTCGTTTTCAACGGAACTTTGCAATTTTTGCGACTTTCGCTTTCGCGTTTTTCGAATGGTCGGAAAGTGGG